TTTAATCCTTATTCTCTTTACCACCATTTGGAAGGAGTCAAAATCTCCACTCCAGGGTTTTTTCCAAGCCTTGGACTCTGATTTAATTCTACATGATACTTGGAATGCTGACATTATCCCAATTCTACTCCTTTCTATTCCCCCCTCCCATCAACTATACTAATGAAACAGCATAATGAAATAAGAGAAAGTGTGGCAGGCCAAAATTCTAAAAGGAATACAATCGCAGGCCTGACACTAGGTGCATCTTATAGTCTGGAGCATCTTATAGTCCGAAAAATACGTAAAATCCATAAAGCCTCCCAATCTAACCAGTTCTCTCTCATTCCTTCCCTTTGAACATCAGGCACCCATTTTAAAAATCATCATGACTTTGCCTACTGATTAATAAAAGTGGACAGTAATGTGTTTTTGTATTTCCAAATGTCCTGCCAGCCAATGCAGAAAAAGTACCTTCTGCTTTTCATTCTCTGCCCTGGAGCATTGGGTAACTTAATAGAAGCTGTGTCTCTGTTTTGAAAAGGCACATGACCGTAAGCCTGACTGATATATTCTCGCTCAATTACCCATAAGAGATTAACTCATGTTTTTTCTAGATAGGCTACCTACCTAGAACCAACATCAAATATTTCAGATAAAGATTTTGAAGGTGGGGGGATACATGCTACTTTTTCCCATCAGCTGACTGATCTTGGCTTTGTCCAGTCTCAATAACATTTACTGTTAAGCTGTCTTATTTGAAGAAGAAATCCATTATGGCACATGAGCCATCTCTGCGCTGAATCATGCAGCCCACAGATATTAATCTACTAAAGATAATCTCCCTCAAGATTTATTTAGGAGTGCTGCCATTTGCTATAGATTACACTGGATTATTGTAGAAGAACAAGTGGTAAGTATCAGAATAAGGCAGCCTCAGATGCTTCTGTTTATTCATGTTAGCAAGAATGACTAAATTATCTGAATTAATTAATCAGAGAGTGCTGCCATCATGAGATACACATAGTCCGATTAGCTTGAAAGCACAAATCCTATGATAAAGTGAAGATTATACCTTAAAATACTTGCTTGTAGCTTTCTCTCTAGCAATGTAAGAAGGAGTACAACTACTGATTTTGGTATGTTGTAAATAGTCTTCTCCATTCAGAACATGGATTTACCTTTCATGGATTCTCCCTTTAATTCTAGGAAGCAAAATAATTTAACATGGAAATCAGAGTACTCTTTTGGAAAATTCTAATTTCAAGAGTTGCAAGAACAGAAAAAAAATATTCCGAAGAGGATGAAAGAAGGTTAGCAATAGCAATAGCAGTTAGACTTTCAGCCCTCTCCATAGGGCTTTCAGCCCTCTCTAAGCGGTTTACAGAGTCAGCATATTGCCCCCAACAATCCGGGTCCTCATTTTACCCACCTTGGAAGGATGGAAGGCTGAGTCAACCTTGAGCCGGTGAGATTTGAACAGCCGAACTGCAGAACTGCAGTCAGCTGAAGTAGCCTGCAGTGCTGCATTTAACCACTGCACCACCTGGAGTAGTCATGAGAGAGAAGTTCCTGTCACTGTTTCATTGAAAGAGAAATTATTTACTCTGGCTTCAGAGATAAAATTCACTTCTCCCAATTAACTAGAGATGTTTAGAGTTTGGAAAAGTAGTGAGTCTAGTAGGTTATTCAATCCTTGCCCCCCACAGCAAGTTTTCATGTCAAATTGTCATCCCAAACATGGAGCTTTTATATCTCAGAAGGACAATTTAAAAAAAATATCTTCGGGTTTTTGTGATATCCTTCCCAGGAATTGTTAAGATTGCAATGTAAGGACAGATCCTAGGGGAATATACAAAGAAGGACAATGCTCTCTGGATCACTCAGTAGAAAGCGTAGCTGGTCCCTTCAGGATAAGATTTAGCATGTCAGGATGTTTTATACTTTGCTTTATTGCCTGCTTTAGGGGACGGAATGAACATTTGCAGACTTTTTTAATTAAAAAATTGAAAGAGACGCTAGATTGGAAGCCGGAGAAAAGCTGCTTGTTAAAATTTATGTGATGAATGAGGAACCTTACCTTTAAAAAAAAAACAATAACAATAGTCCCAAATTCAAGGAGGAGTATGGACTTCTTTCCCATGACTTTCTGGGCCAACCATGATACCATACAAAACTAGGAGGCTTCAGTTTGGGAATTGAATCTGCAGCTGTGTTTGTGATCCTTAACACACTACAGAGCACTCCAAGTGAGTAGAGCAAATACAGGCAGCCCTTGACATACAACAGTTCATTTAGTGACCGTCCAAAGTTACAACGGCACTGAAAAAGTTGGCTTAGGACCATTTTTTCACACTTATGAGAGTTGCAGCATCCCCATGGTCACATGATCAAAATTTGGACACTTGGAAACCAGTGCATATTGATGACTGTTGCCATGTCCTGTGGTCACGTGAGTTTGCAACCTTCTGTCAAGCAAAGTCAATGGGGAAGCCAGATTCACTCTACCTCCCAGAGACCTATTAGATCGCACAGACTAGGCCTCCTCCGAATTCCATCCGCCAGCCAATGTCGACTGGCAACTCCCTGGGGGAGGGCCTTCTCTGTGGCTGCTCTGGCCCTCTGGAACGATCTCCCCGTTGGGATCCAGACCCTCACCACCCTTCCGGCTTTCCGCAAAGCCACTAAGACCTGGTTGTTCCGGCAGGCCTGGGGCCGATGAATTTTCAGCCCCATATGAAGTTGTGACTGTTGTTGTATTTTAATTTGCTTG